TAACCAACTGAGCCACCCAGGCGCCCCTCCTGTTTAGCTTTTAATTACACACCCTCTGTGCTCCCTTTTCTAAGAAGCCCACTAAGTTCCTTATATTCTAAAATTCTTTATTTTCTATTTTATTTTGCTGGGTTTAACAAAGCCAGTTAGTTGCCTATTTAGGCGATAATGTCTTCCCACCTACCCATAGCAAAGAGAATCCCGGTTTACTCTGGGAATCGGAGTACGCCAGAAGGTGTTCAAAGGCCTAGAAGCTATGGAGCAAAGACAAACAATGAAGACTTATCTTATTTTTAAATGAGTTCCAGCTTCTCTCTGCTCTCCTTAAGAGGAGGAGTGGGGTCTTTGAACACGGAACCAATCTGGAAATACATTTAAAAGCCCATGTCACCCCTCAGCAGCAGGGCTGCAGAGTGTCCCCCAGAGACTATTCTCTTCTTGACAGGAGGTCAACGTGTTGCACTGAAGATGGAAAAAATTCCCCCCGTGATGTCCCTGCAAAGGGGGGGTGCGTAAATGGAATAGATTTAGAAGCGGCGTGGGTGAGGACTTTCGCTTTCAAATATTTGGCCAAATTTCAATATTGGTTTGTTATGCAACTGAATTCATTTCTTAAGCCTAAGTGGCTTCTCTTTAATGTCTCCTGGCTCGTGGTTTGTTGTTATTGGATGTGAGGTAACACAACATCGTATCATCACGATAGCGTGATGTGTCCTACCACCTCGCAGCAGTAACCTGTGTGCCATGGGGCACGCGATGCTGTCTGATGTTCTCCGCCAGGCTCTCCTCCCGGTTGGCAGACCGCTCGCCTCCATCTTGGCTTCTTAACTGCTCTCATGGAAGGCCGTGACTTTAGAGGCATTTCAATTCTGCAGGTGTTTCAGAAGCAGTGGAAAAAACATCTCATGCAGAGGAAGGGGATTTCCTCTGTAACATGCATGGAAGCTTTATAGAATGTTTGGGGGAAAGACAGACACATGAATAATTTTGCCCTGTTTTTGGTTACCTCTCTGACATACAGCCACACTTCTTCAAGAAAATTCCAGGAAATCCTAAAGGGCACTGCCTAGAATTTGGCAACGCTGATTTGATCACCCAGGTCCCTCCAACAAACCTGAAAATGTAGCTCTGACATGGGGATTTCCAAACTTCGATGCACTGCTTATCTAGAATTATCTCGAGAGCTTTTGAAGACCCCAATTCCCAGGTCACACCCCCCTTACCAGTTAAATCAGAATGTCTGGGGGCTGGGAGTCAGGCATGGGTACCTTTGAAAAATCCCCATGAGTTATTCAGTGTGACATTTGGAAGCCACTGTCTGAATATCTTTTCGGCTGCTTGTGCTGGATAAACTTCACCTTCTCTACCTATCAGGCTCCTATTTTGTAAATTTCTCATTAAAATCTTAAATTCTTAAAATCTTGTGTTTCAACTACAATTAGTTGAGCCCCTACTAAGTGCTGAAGATTTGCTGGCCGCCTTCACATTCATTGAACCCCCTTCTACCCTGGATGAGCCTTGAAGAGGTGGATGGGTTTCTCTCCCTGCTGCAGGGGGACTGGGCTGGGGTCCAGAGGGCTTCCGTCCCTGGAGGAAGAACTCACAGTTGGTTAAGGGGCAAGTCAGGAGTGGAAGAGAGGCCCAGCTCCCCATGCAGTGGGCTTCCCTGCTCTCTCCCTACCTCATTTTCCTAGTCTCCCAAGATCCAATAAGGTGTACAACTTCTTCTGCAATTACCATTGATGCACGGTCCCTTCACTCTGTTAGCATCAGGTGTCCCTGTTTTGCTGCTTGGAAGCCGGTATATCATCACCTATAGTCACAGCAAGGCTATGACTTGTCACTTGCAAGACACAGATGGGGTTTATTAGTACAACTCCTGCCTGGTACATAATTTTTTCTCTAACATTCCAATACTAACAGATAACCATGCATGGAGGGACACCGAGGGACTGTGCCGCGATCCACATGTGGGGGGGGCATGGAGGGGCTGTGTCAGGAGCCCTTTCCATGCATAAAAGGATCCATGCATAAAGGTCTGTGCCACAATCCATGGTCCACGAGTGGGGAGCAGGGCACCAAGGGGCTGTGCCTTGATCCACGCCCGGGGATACACCGAAGGTCTGCGCCACGATCCATGTGCGGAGGGAACACCAAGGTCTGCGCTATAATCCACGATCCAGCACGGAGGGACACCAAGGGGCTGCCCCAGGAACAGGTACCTTTTCCCCACCAAAGGCGATCAGGCCTTGAGTTTGCTGTCTTTACCCCCTTGCGTGACTGAGGCAGTAAGGCTCTGAGAGATTCCACGTCTGTGGTGCAGTCCTGTGAGCTAATGAGCGGAGTCGTGGGGTTCGAATCGGAGCCCTGACCCTTGAGCCCACACCCACATCCCCACCCCACTCTCCTCCATCCGCCTCCTCACCTGCTGCTCTAAGAACCAACTCCCCTGAAGCCTCCTATTTCAAAACGTTCTCCTAAGGCAAATGGATCCTGGACGTTTTCTTTGGCTTATTGTGTGTGTGGGGTGGGGAAGGCCGCGGGTGCAAGCAAGAGACCCACAGAGGAACTGGTCGTTCGCCCTGGACAGAGGTTTCCTTGCTGCAGCTGTCATTGTATTGCATTTTGTCTGCGCATCCGTCTTGAACGAGGACCAGCGCCCGAGAAATATCACGCTCCCGAAGAAAAGGCCCAGGGATGGGAAGTGCCAACCACTGACTGAGCAGAAGTGGCAGCCCGTTGTCTTGGCCCTTTCCTCACTCCTGGTTTATGAACGATGGTGGCGGTCATCCTTGTCCCTCCCAAACACGTACGATGAGCTGAGGCTCTAGCACCCGCAGGATGCTAGCAGTTCAAGTCCACAAAGATCACGTACTAGCTGAGTGAGCATCAGGATTTGCACATAGTGGGTTCTTGCTCCTTGAAATACAGTTTAAATTCCCTACCATCCCTGGCTCCGGGGAGGCCACGGCCACAGGTTGTAAGCAGCACTGGGAACTGAGCCCACACAGCCTTGCCCCGGAGTTCAGCCCCACCTCTCCCTCAGCAAAGAATTCACTTCAAACATTTGTGTGCTATGAAGATGGCAAAAAGTATTAGTCAGGATACATATGCCTCTGAACTGCCTATTAAAATACTTCTTTGGAATATTTGCTTCCCTTTCTAGAGAGGGAGTTTATATCTACAGTGAAGAACCTCCCCCTATGTTCCCGTGCTGTCTTTCCTCCCCTCTCACTGGTGGGAGAAGGACAGGAAAGGCAGAAGAGTAAGTGGGGTTGCACTGAACAAGCCCATGCTTGTGTAAGTCTGTGAAATTTCAAGAAATTACGCGACATCAGGAATGCAGTACAACAATGGTGGTAAGAAAATATTATGTTAAAAACACTGTTATGTGGGTGCCTGGGTGGCTCAGTCGGGTAAGCGTCTGCTTTCAGCTCGGGTCATGATCTCAGGGTCCTGGGATCGAGCCCCACGTCAGGCTCCCTGCTCAGCGGGGAGTCTGCTTCTCCCTCTCCATCTGCCTGCCACTCCCCGTTGGTGCTCCCTCTCTTCCTCCCTCTCTCAATATCTTAAAAAAAGCCCACACAGTTGTGTGTCGACTAGGACTGGAGTCAGCATGACAGGGTCATGTGTGGAGGACGGCTCTGCGGTTCTGTAAAGAACCCGTGTCCTCCTTCACTAGGAAACAGCTTGGCGGTGAATCATGTATGTAAAATACCTGCAAATTCAAATAATAGGAAAAACATGGGCTGGAAATGAGTTTTTTCAGTCCTAGAGCAGAGTGGCTATGTGTGCATTTCTGAGTCACTGTGCCCCTGCCTCTACCCTTTCCTGTTTGCCAACCCGATTTCCAGAGTCGCCCTTTGTACTTTCATGTGTGGGTGCTGGTGACCCGAACTATTTCACAAATGCCTCTTTTCATCTCCTCTCTCCCCTCTCTTTTAACTCTTTCCTTCAGCTCTGCCAATATCCCAGGATACACCGGGAAGGTTCATTTCGCAGCCAGCCACCCGGCAAATTCTGATATTCCATCAACAACCCCATCACCAGACTCAGAAGTGCACCGGTAAGTCTGAGTCCTATTACTCAATGTGCTCAGATACACTGGAGGCAGGCGGGGGTCGGGGGAGGGATCGTCATTATGGTTATTCCATTAAAGAACAATTACATATGAAGAGTAAATTTACATCATTTTTAAAAATGGGGTGTCAAGTCCAAAAGACAGAAGCGTTCATCTTCCTGCTGTTGCTAAAGGAGCCTACGAAGATTCTTAAAGTGTGTTAGGTGAGCGACATCTTTACCTCTTGGACTTACAGCTTTGCACCCATAGCACGCTTCTGCGTGACCAGCAGAACACGGGTGGATGCTGGGAACCCATCGCATGAGCCACATATTTACTCCCTGTGAATCACCGCCTTAGTTTTCATGAGACAGCATTCTGTTGAAAGTCACATGTATTTTTAAACACCATTTTACGAATCGAAAGCAGGAGCTCTCAGATGGAAGGCTCTTGTGGACTCCGTTATTTGGAGCTGCCAGAGAGAAGCAACGCATTATTGTTCATTATAACTCAAATCTGAAAATGTTTGATGGAGGTCCTGGGTTTGCAAATAACATGACACAGTCTTGAAAATGCAAATGCGGTCTTAAAGGGGTCCAGTTGCTGGTTCCTGCAAATAAATAAACTATCCCGGGAGGTCCCTGTGCGTCTTGGAGGAGGAGGGAGGTGGTTCTCCCCCAAAGGGTGCCTTTGCTCCTTTTGGTAGAGAATCCATTCATTTATCCAACATTTATTGAGCATCCACTCTGGGCCAGGCACCATTCAAGGCCCTGAGCACACGTGATTCCGGCTCTCAGGAGCTTACGTTCTGGTGTGACAGACAGCACAAAAGCACACAAGTAATTGAAGAAATAAAATGATTTGAGAGAGTGCTATGTGCTGCCAAGGAGAAAAGGTGGGGAGGTGTAGTAGGTAGGGCCTGGACAGGGTGCTGAGTTAGCTTGGCAGTCCGGGAGGGCTTTCTGAGGAGGTGACCTTCAGGCAGAGTCCAAGCCATCCCACTGGATTTCTTACATGTTCTGAAAGGGGGCAACTGGGGAGAGCCTCGTGGGCCCTAGTGGTCAGTTCATACGGGCTATTTATTCTCTCGTTCACTCACGCCTTTACTGGTTCATTTGTATGTGCTTTCACTGGGTCAACCAAGTTCGTGGTTCTCCAGGAATTCACAAGAACTAGACCCAGTTTGCAAGGAGCTCAGAGTCTAGCCGTGAGCAAGAAACACACAACCATAGTAGAGGATGACGCATGTCACCCTAATACTGTCATTCACATGGGTGAGCGCTTCGTCTACACCAGGCTATCCAAGTGCTTTGTACTTACCAAGTCATCTCACCAACCCAGAAACCCTGTGAGGGTTATGCTCTTGTTTCCCCATTTTACAGATCAGGACAGTGAGGCAAACAGAAGATTTCAGGGGATCCGCATGGATCCACGTGGGGGGCACTAAGGAAGGCTTCGCAGAGGAAGGGGTTCATGCCGTGACCCTTGGTCTCATAGATATCTGCGGGCCAGGCTGTGTGTGGAAGGGCTGGCTTATTCCAGGGATCCCACATGCAAAGCCCCTCACCACACAACCATGGAACCGTAAGAGGGCCGTGTGGGGCACCCAGATCATTGCACACCCTGTATGCAGGACCTAGTTCCTCAGGCAGTGACTGGGCACAGGGAAGTGCCTGCTGACAGAGGGCTTCATCAACTGATCTAAATTCTGGGTTTGCTGATTGCTTAGAACCTCTGGGTCACCTGATAAGAAACATTTTAAAGGAAGACATTGGCTTTCAAGGCTACTATTTTGCATTCAATCAGTTTTCTCTCAGGACACATTTTCCAAAGTCACAGATCCATTTGCAAAGGCAGGACTGATGGAAATTTAGACAATTAATGGATTTTATTTCACTGATGGGCCTAAAGAAACAATTGCAAAATTAAATGCATTCTGATGTCTGTTGTTTAGACGTAGTGTCCACAAAGATGGAATCATACACTGTGTCTGGGTGGATAATGACAGGGGACAGACCCAGTTATGTCTTCCCAGGGCAAATGTGAACATTCCTGATCCCTTGCCTTCTTCCTTCATGATCCGTCTTCTCTCCCCATACATCTCAGACCAGAGCTCTGATACCTGGTGGGTCTAGCACGTTTCCCCGGCCACGTGATCTAGCAGTTCCATGTTCTACTATATTTCAAAGAAATCTGTATTTCCAAGTGGAAAACCATCCTTCACTGTTACTGAACTGTTACTAATGCTATAATGTTCCTACTGCTGTTCCTGCTGTTCCTACTGCTGTTCCTGCTGTTCCTAATGTTGCTACTGCTGTTCCTGCTGTTCCTGCTATTCCTAATGTCCCTGGTGCTCTTCCTGCTGTTCCTAATGTTCCTGGTGTTCTTCCTGCTGTTCTGCTGTTCCTACTGCTGTTCCTGCTGTTCCTAATGTTGCTGGTGCTGTTCCTAATGTTCCTACTGCTGTTCCTGCTGTTCCTAATGTTCCTGGTGCTGTTCCTGCT